CGGCTCCGGTTCTGGCGCGGCGCAGGCCCGGCTCAGTCTCCCCCTGGCCCGCCCTCCTGAGGCCTTGTTTCTCGTCGCAGTCCTGTAGTCCCCTTTCCCGCAGCCATTCCTTTTGCTCGCATTGGCTCTCTCTCCCTGCCTCGCGCTGGGTTGAGGTGTGAGAGGTAGGTTCCGTGGGAGCCGGTGAGGCCTGCCCGGTGCCCAGGGACCGCCTCCTCCGTTTGTGAGTTTCTCGTCCACACCCGCTCGGTCCGCCCACGGAGAGAGGCACCGAGCACCGAGTGGCCAAGCCCGACGTGCGGTCCCGGTGATTCCCCAAAGGGACCGACCCTGTGAAATGTCACCTGAGGTGCCTGGACCTCAGTCTCCTCAGCAGTGAGGTTCTCTGGGAAAGATTGCTGGTCTCCACGCCTTTTTGTTGTTGTTTTCGTCCTGCATTGCTTGCCGAGATGACCCATAGCAGGGCATGGCTGGGAACCCCGAAGCCAGATTCCCTTTGGCAACTGGGGGCCGAGGGAGCGCTGGGACCACAGCTCCCCGCCATGCGGTGATGCGGGCTGGGCTGTAGGCCATGAGAACGCCATTCTGTTTGGGCTCCGAGAGTGCCATTCCTGGGACAGGCTAAATGGAGAAGGACCGCACCGTCGTTGCTGCTCTACCGCAAGAACTGTGCGAGCATTGGTCTGTCCGCTGCATTCTGTTTCCGGTGTCCTGTCGGTTTCAGGACAGGTGTTCGGAGCGGGGTTAACAGCACCTGGTCTCCCCGGTCACCTGCTTTCAGTGCTGACCTTTTTGTTTTTCCTCAGGTGACTCTGGAGAAACCCTGCCTCTGCTGGAGCCGGCACGACCCGGCAGCAGAACCGTGAGCTGCAGTGACGCAGAGGTCTAGGACTATGAGCTCCGTAACGGCCCTGAGTGAACCCAGGCTGAATTGGTGAGTTGCCTCTGTTTGTAATCACCCAAAGAGAATGAACGGGGACTAGGTTACATTAGGAAAGGCGGGGCTTTTGACCCGCAGAGCTTTGGAGGAAACAGAAAGAAAATAGAAGTTCAGTGGCTCAGAATCCATCCCATCCTCATCTGCACATCCAGGCACGTTTGCGGTATAGCTGACGGCACTTCCTCTCCGAAAGTGACGATTCAGCACTCAGATCGCTACCAAGTATAATTCCGTCACGTACTTGTTGACGCTCTGTTAGTGAAGGAGAGATGCTGGAATTTGCTTGTGCCCAAGGACCTTGCCCACGGCTGTACAAGTAGGAAAAAGACCCCCTCCCCCTTTAAGAATAAACAAGCTTCTTTTTATGTTGGAATCTGTATCAAGTGCTCATGTAAATGCACAGGCTGTTTTAGAAGTGTATGAGAACTTCACAAATAGAGGACTCAGTTAAGTAACGTAAGTGGCTTTGCAGAGATCTAACTAATTAGCGCACGTTTTCTGAGCATCTACAGTTTGCTAGCCAAGGAGAATATGAAAGTTACGAGACACTATAAAGATAACTAAAATAGTACCTGATTTAAAGAAGATGCTTTCAGTACGTTTTCAATAAGTATTTATTTAATGCAAACAATGTTCCCTTCCCCCAAAGAGCTCACAGTCGATCCCTGAGACCCATGACTTTGTTTTTGTATGATATACAAAAGCCTTAAAATGTAATGAGATGGCAAATATACAGTACCATAATAAGTCATAAAAACCACATTGGTGCATAGCAAGTAAGACATTCTCATTTTACCATTCATACTTCAGTTGTAGTTTTTTGGATAAATGCCTTTAAAAACAGTAAGAAATGAGTATGGTGCAAATATGCTAGAATTTTTCATTTTGGGAATGGGCCAGCCAGAAGTTGCCATTTAATTAGAGGTATACACCAAGCATGTCAGACTCGCAGCCCGTGGTCCACAACAAATATTTTTGTGGCCCAGCCAAAATAACATATGTAAGAAACATTTTAATAAAAATTTCATAACTTAATTTTTAGAATATCCTGTTTTACATAATCTACACTAATAAAAGGGTAATGTGCTAATTAGACCGGACGTCTTCCAGACATTCATGCGGACAAAGCCATTGTGGTGGAGGCCAAGGCAGAGGCAGTTAGGGGCGATCAGGCAGGCAGGCAGGTGAGCGGTTAGGAGCCAGCGGTCCTGGATTGCAAGAGGGATGTCCGACTGCCTGGGATCGGGCCTAAATCGGCAGTCAGACATCCCCTGAGGGGTCCCAGATTGGAGAGGGTTCAGGTCGGGCTGAGGGACCACTCCTCCCCCATGCACGAATTTTATGCACTGGGCCTCTAGTTATTAATAATGAGCTACAACATTCTCTAAGGACTGATTACTATAATGGTATTGCATTAATTTCCCTTACGCACCTTACGTGCAGGTGCACCAGAGAACAAGAAAAATAGGTTTATTTGCGTTATGCTTATTAATTTGTGCAGTTATTCAGTGTTTGATAAGTTAATGTTCAAGAAAAAACATTAATTTTTTAATTAAAATGTTCTATTTTATGTTAACCGTTTAACTGCTAAGGAGCGCTATGGCGCTCTCCTTATGTTACTCCAAAAATGCGAAGAGCGCGATAGTGCTCCTGTTTTTTTTTATGCCAAGACTGCGGAGAGCGTAATAATGCTGCTCCAAAACACTAGAATTTGTATAAAAAGTGTTTTACATTTTTTCCCATACACGCGCAATTAGTGCCGCAGTTTTGGCATATGTCCGAAAAAATACGTTAGCAGCCAAACGGTTAATGATTACTCATTTATTTCAGCCCTTTGTATTCAGCATGACTCTATCGAAATAAACATACGTTTCTATGAAATTGAAGCTTTTGTTTTTTTGCAGCCCACATAAACTTAAACCTTGTTTATTTGGCCTGTGTTAGCCTTTGAGTTTGACATGCTTGGTATACAAGTGTATGCTCCTTGCCATAAAGTGTATGTTCAGAAGCAGCATGGATGCTCTTATACTATACCATTAACATTGTGAAACCCAATGTGATTTAGAGCCTTTGCACAGTATTGAAGTCCTTGAACTATCCTTGACCACAGAATCCTACTAATCTTATCCTCCCAGGTTAATGGTTCTCAATGTTTTTAGTTTTTTAATTCCTTCATTCAACCAGCATTTATTGGATGCTACTATATGGAAAGCATTGACTATAATATATTAGTCTCTGAATTATTTGTTATGAAAAATCACATATGACCTTAGAAGTGGTTTTAGTACAGACACACCATTTATCACATTTGCCAGGTTAATGAAAATGGGAGGATATGCTGTCTTTTTAGTGTCTTGTGGCCTCACATAGTAGTGCATGAAACAAAAATAAATAGAGAAGCATTTTCTGTCAGTAACCAAACAAAATGTTATGCCCAGAGCCAGAGGTGAGACCTGCCTCTGACAGACCTTTTATTGTCCTTATAATCTGTTCTATTTTAACTCTAGTTATCTCTGACATATATTTAATTGGATACTAAAGGAAAAGCAAGGCCTGTTGTTGGAACTGGAGAATTTCAGAATAGGCCTAGGGTAAAAGCTATCTAAGAAGGAAAACATCTGAACTGATACATCTGGTACATGAAATTAAAACTATGAAGAGCTGACTGTCTAGGAAAGGGGGTGTAGAGAGCATGTAGTTATAAATTACAATGGTACCATTATGCTGCTTACTCTAGCTTGAGATTTTGAATTGTCAAATACAATTACTTTGCTTCACAGGGATGTCGCCTCAAAAAATGGCCTTAAGACATTTTTCTCTCGAGAAAATTATAAAGATCATTCCATGGCTCCAAGTTTGAAAGAACTATGTAATTTATCTAACAGGTAATATGTTTATTTATTTGGTTAATTATTTCCATATTTGGTTGTTATTTTTCTGATAGTTGGAGTTTTATATCTGTCTGTATCCACTACTAAACATTCAAATTGCAGAAATGTAAAAATTAGAAAACAGAAGAACCCAGTGACCACTCTTTAGTATATATCTTTCAGCCCTTTCTCCACCCATGAACAGATAGATAGGTATTAAAACAAAAATAGGGTCACATTATAAATACTATGTAATACCATAAATACTATAAAACTGTTTTTATAGTTTGTTTTTTCATTTAAAATATTTCCTGGATCTTTCTATGCCCCTGCATATGTAGCTCAGTCTTCTTGATGGTTGTATATTATATATTATAAAAGTGTACTTTTTAATTCATTTAGCTAGTTTTATATTGCAAAATGTGTTCCTCTTTTTTTGAAGTTATAAATAATACATTGATGAACTTTTTGTAATTATTTCTGAGATAAATTCATATAAATTTCATTGTTTGACCAGAGGATATATACATTTTATATTTTAATAGATACTGCCAAAATGCCAGAGATTTTTTTTCACTCTCTGGTATGAAATGCCCATTAAGTGATAATTTTCCCTTCTCACTGCTTACCTGCCTCTAACAGTTCTTTCCTTTGTGATTAGTTGTTTCTACTGTTTGTGGATGGATCCTGAAACCAAATAATCAGATTTACTAGAAAGGAGTAAATATGCCAAAAAGGAATTAGGAAGCTCCCCATGTATTTTCATCCTTTTTCCATGCCTTTTGCAGCGGAGGAAGTATGGTTTCCAACCTCTTCATCCAATGGAACCCCATCTTTCCCTGCCTTCTCAGTTAACATCCCCTCTTCTGTGCCTTTGTTCTCTTTTGTCAGTGCAGACCTGCCTCACTATATTGAACCTCACAGGTGTGTGTTATTACAAATTGAAGGCAAGACCAATACCTGCAAAAAAGTTACAGTTCACTTTATTTCAAAACTTGCTTTATTGCAGGAGTCTGGAATGCAACCCACAATAATTTGCAAGGTATCCCTATATTTCAAAGTGCTTAAGTTTTTCTGTCTCTAATCCCTGGACTCCAGATTCCCTTCTAGTTACTTTTTTATTTCTTTGCTCATTTATACTTAGACTCCTTTAAAGACTTATATATACTTGCAATATATAAGGAGGAAATAGGGGACAAAAATACTACTGTATAACACATGCAGAAAACAACAGACAAGGCAATAGTAAGTCCTATCCCTATCCATAATTACTTTAAATGAATTAAACTCTCGAATCAAAAGATATATTGGGAGAATGGATTTAAAAAACAGTATAAAAAACTCATTTCCTTCAGTCCAGTGAAAGCAAGCTCACTGGACTTGCTTTCAATTAACATCACACTCTAATCTGGCTTTTACCGTCTCTAGTCTAAGATTGTTCTCTCAAGATCTAGGAGCTATTGACTACAGAGATATCTCACTCTTAGATTTCTGGTGACTGGCATTTCTCAGTCTCTTTTGCCATCTTCATTGTCAGGCTTACCACACTGACTCATCAGATTGTGGAGCTTTTAAAAAAGACTGATTTTGCACTCTCAACCCAACTTTTTGAATTTGAACCTTTGAGGATGTGTCTGTGGAATCTGTTAATTAACACCGTTGATATTCATTTAGGTCATCTCCGTAGCAAACAGTGAGCATCCTTTTTATACATGTGCTGGTATAAGAACTAGGATAAATTTTTGTAAGATGTGGGTATGCATGTGTTTTTTATTTTGATACATAATTGCCAGATTGTCATTAACAGCATTAAAGAAACAAGTACTTTTTTATTCCATCAAATAAATACATAGGTTCACGTTAAAAGCAAGCAAAAATTATATTAAAGAGACAGTTGGGAAAAAAAAGACAGTTGAAAAGTAAATGTTTTTAAAAAGGCAATTTCAGAAACTATTCTTCTTTCCAAACTGCATAATTATGTATTTGCTAATATCAGCTATAGACAGGTAAGACCATAGATCCCTTATGAATATGCATCTATGGCCGTTTTTAAAAAGCTATTTCTGTTATTCAGCTGTACCGTTTCTTAGGGATAACTAATTTTTTTAAATTTATCTTTATTGTTGAAAGTATTACAGATGTCCCCTTCTTCCCTCTCTCCCCCCCAGCCCCTTCCTCTCCACTCTTAAAACTTATTAAAGAATTGTCTTCGTTTATTTGAATAAAAGAATACCTACCAATTCTAGTATTCTGGAATTCAGCAAATATAAATCTTTATCTTAAAAACATAAACATTTCAAGAACTTTTATTTCAGCCTTCCTTTTTTTATCAGACTAAAAATTTGTAATATTAATTTTCCTTAATCTGCCACTGCTTCTTCATTATTTTAATGACTCTTTACGAGTCCACTTCTGTTCAGCATATCCTAGGTGTGGATTATAGTCTGGATTATGTAAGGGAGAGGACATTTTTGCTGGCAGTTGGGCTCACCTAACTCCTAAAATTTATTTTTCCTATAGTATGCGTGTCTTTCTTTAGATTTCTATATAGCATAAAATAATTTATTATTATGACTTACCTTTTAGTATAGAAAAAATAAAGACAAAGGCATTGATTCCATTTATTTCTAGTCTTTTGGACTAATCTTGAGTTTTAAGTTTTAACAGTAGGGAATGGATTTTCAGACTATTAATTTACAACTGTTTTCTTGATGGAAAACTAGGAAGAATATAACATTTTTGTTAGCTTTAATTGTGTATTTCTCTTGTGTTCTCTAACATTTGGGAAACTATTAATAACACTACTTTTAACAATGTGAAGTTTTCATTCAACCCTTCATTGAAAAGTAAACATTTGCCTTTTTTCCAAATTAAAGTGTCTGGTTGTAGATATTTATAACTGAGATTCCAACAAGGGGGAAAGTAGTTATAAATAGAAAAATAATTATCAAATTTCAACATGTTTAATATAGAAAAGTTAATCAAACTCAAGAGGTACAGATAGACTTCAGATGGAGATTACAAGCACCATTTCCAAATGCTACTTAAAGAAGCTGCCCAGTCCAGTAGATTTAAAATTAAGAAACTTGAAGTTTTGAATTCTGCCTTTTTTTCCATAGAAACTTTAAGTAAAAAAGGAGAATGGGTAGTAGACAAAATGAAGTGTGAAAACTTCAAACCATCAACTGAAATAAAATATAATGCTGTAAATGTGGTTAGAGAAACCCTGTCAGATGCTTTTGGCTTGCACCCTGATGAAGATTTTGACAGTACTGCACACGGAAATGATCTTGATGTGCTGCCATTTCATTCTTTGCTGAATGTAGCCAATTTAAACTGCTAGAATTTCTTGACATTCCTACTCTGGCATATCTGAGTCAGCATCTTGTTGCTGCAGCAGCTTAATTAAATTTGCCAGTTTGTGCCACAAGGACAGACATGTTCTCATATTCAGAGAGACAGCTGTGAAGCAGTATTGTTAAGAGTTGCAGACACAATACTGTTAGGTTTGAATAGCTCTCAAGACATTTTCTAGTGAGAAATCAATTTGCTGTGATACATTTCTCCCAAGATCAGCAGTTAATATTCATTTTGTTAACCAAAAATGTGCTTATTTTTTACAGTTATTGGAGAAACTTTAGTCACTAAGTATGTCTTTTTTACTTGTATTATTTTCAGAGTCAATCTAATCATCCTTATTTTAATTTGTATAATTCTTTCCCACCCATTAATAACCTCTCTTGATTAGTTTTCCATCTATTGTTTATCTCTAAAAGAGTGGTCTTAAATATTCCTGCTTTATTTTGGGACACTAAAGTCATTTTCTAAAAATTCTGGAATTTTTACCATATATATTTTTTAGTATTATAAAGTTGATTTAAAACAAGACAGTGTTAGTTTTAGATGGAGCTTAACTCACCCTTTGTCCAGATATAGATCTAGTTTGGTAATTCTCAACCTTAATCAGGCCAAAAACCTCCCATTTTTTATAGCAAATATTTAAAAGAAATAAAACACCTTATTTACTAGCCTAAATTGAAATTCATAGATAATAATAGCCACAGACATAATACTTAGAAATAATGTCTTAGATATATATAAATGTGAAATAAAAGAAAAATAATTTATATTCTAATATATAAATGCCTAATTTCTACTGCACTAAAAGATATAATGAAATAGTCAGATGCACCAGCTAAAATGAAGAAGGTTGAATTTCACACGTTAAGCGCCATGTCAGTCACCAGTGACTGACACTGCTTTCCGTCCGGACCTCATCAGTCTTCAGCCACCAGCATTATCGGTGAAATCAGATATTGCGGGCTAAATCGAAAGGAAGACAAAATAGGCTTGGCTCCTAACGTGTTAAAAGAAGTAAGATAAACTATACCATAAAGCAGTGATTTTCAATTGGTGTGCTACAAGAATTTTAAAACAGCCAAAACCGGTTTGGCTCAGTGGATAGAGCGTTGGCCTGAGGACTGAAGGGTCCCAGGTTCGATTCTGGTCAGGGGCATGTACCTGGGTTGCGGGCACATCCGCAGTGGGGGGTGTGCAGGAGGCAGCTGATCGATGTTTCTCTCTCATCGATGTTTCTAGCTCTCTATCTCTCTCCCTTCCTCTCTGTAAAAAATCAATAAAATATATTTAAAAAAAAGAATTTTAAAACATTCAATGCCTGGCTGTTTAGTCAGGTACACTGACCTTTTTTCCCTTAGATTGTCGGATAAAAAACATGATAACAGCCAACACAACAAGAGCTGTCTGGTGTGAATAAATCAAAGTAATACCTTTTTTTTTGGTGTGCTACAGAATTTTAGTACTTAGTTTGTATGCCATGAGATGAAAATAGGTTGAAAATCATTGCCATAAAGGAATCATAAGAAATTCAAATAATAAAATGTAGTGTTAAGTAATAACAGATCAGATTTATTTGTGTATGGTAACAGAAAGCCTGAAGAAACCTTTGAAAGTTGTGCAGGACAGCACCACGTTATAGGCAGGTAGTGTTCCTCACTTTTAAATGCCTTTAATTCTTTCCCTCTTTTTTTACAACCCAGATGCATCCACAGGCTTCCAAAATGCCCTCAGGGAATTAATACTGTCCAATTGAGAACCTCTGCTCTGGATATTTCTTGTCCCTCCCCTCTCTCCCTCTTAATCTCTGAACTGGATGTCTTTAGGATTCTGTTCAGTCACCTATTCAGTGTGTTCAGTTTGGAAACCTGAGAGCTCCATAGTCACATTGTATTGATGTACATATTTGCCTTTCTTTTTTCCCCATTCAGTTGTCTGATCTACCTGATTGTAACATCCTAGCAAGTAGAGATTGTATCATGTTCAATGTTGGTTGCATCTCCAGTAACTAACATAGGACTGGCACATGGTAGTCAATAAGTTTTAATTAATGGAGGAATGAATACTGAATCAACAGACATCGATCTTTTTCATTACTTTTCCTTCCTCTTAGATTAACGTTGTTTAATTTGGAACTAATTCATAGGGAATAGTTACTGTCTTGGAAATTTAGAGTTGTTGAGGCTGTGTGTGTGTGTATATGTATACTTTAAGACTTGTTAAGAATGAAGATTACAACAACCAAATATCAGGGAAAAAACTTCCAAAGTGAATAATTTGTCTAAGGATTATGCCTCTTCCTCTCCATCAGATAATTGAAGGTAAGCTTATAATGCGATCCTATCCTACAGAATACTTAATTTACACCACATAGCGAAACATCAAAGTACAGGTGGCAAAGTTAGATAATAATTCAGAATTTACTGTGTTAATCACGCTATATTCTTCTTGGTGGTTAAGAATCATGAGGTTTCATGATAGTAATCTTCATGTGAAAAGCACATGTTCGTAAATTGTTTTTGTTTTTTTCCAGACGTATAGGAGAGAATTTGAATGCCTCAGCAAGTTCTGTAGAAAATGAGCCGGCGGTTAGTTCAGCAACTCAAGCAAAGGAAAATGTTAAAACCACAGTTGGAATGGTTCTTCTTCCAAAACCAAGAGTTCCTTATCCTCGTTTCTCTCGTTTCTCACAGAGAGAGCAGAGGAGTTACGTTGACTTGTTGGTTAAATATGCAAAAATTTCTGCTAATTCCAAAGCTGTTGGAATAAATAAAAATGACTACTTGCAGTACTTGGTATGTATTCTATTTTTCAGCTTCAGTAAAAAAAAAAGTATTTAAAAGTTAAGAAACACTTTAAATTTGCTTTTATGTTTTTAGGTGCAACCATATTAACAAAAATGGGAAGTTTAGGGAGATAATTGGTGGACAAATTGGTGCTTTAATTCTTTTGTTGGTTCTGGTATAGTTCAGGCATTTTGCTCTAGTTCTGAGCATATTTCACTCCAGTTCATCTTAAGTACTGGAATTCGAGCTTGCATATGTCATTGAACCAATTTATTTAAGTAGTTTCCAAATTCATATAAATGATGCTGTACTGAACATCATTGTTGCAAAGTCTTTGTTTATATCTGTGATTATTTCCTTAAGATAAAATTTTAAAAATAAAACTGCCAGTCCTGGTTGAGTAGCTCAGTAGGTTAGAGCAGTGGTCGCCAGCTGGTGGTCCATGAGGTCCTAAGAGTTAGAGTGTTGCCCTGATACGCAGAGGTGTGGGTTCTATCCCTGGTCAGAAAATATACAAGAAGCAACCAATGACTGCATAAATAAATGGAACAACAAATCAGTGTTTCTTTCTCTCTTTCCTTTCCATCCTTCCTTTTCTCTCTCTCTAAAACCAGTCAATAAAAATAATAATAATAAATAAAATTGCCATATCAAAAACTATACAAGTTTTTAAGGCTTTGATCTGCAGTAAAACCTTAAAACCTATGGGTAAATTGTTCTGCAAGAACTTCAAGCCAATTTTTTTATATCACCATTGTGTGGAAGGTTTGTTTGTTGTTATTAGTATCTTTGCTGATACTGAATATTACCTTTCCCTCTCTAATTTGATATGGAAGAAATGGTGATTCCTTATTTTACATTAAATTACAGTGGTTATTAATAAAAATAAGTATTCTCCATGTGTTATTAAGCCATTTCTGTTTCTTCTTTTGTACAATTCATTTTGTTTGCTTCTTTTTCTATTTGGGTGTTTGTTTTATTTTTGTTAATTAAGAACATTTTATAAGATAAACTTACTATTTCCAAAGCATGTATTATAGTATTATTAATTTGCTTTCCTGTTTTTGAGGAGTTTTTAATAACAAGTGTATCATTATTATATAATTTTCATTAACTTTTCCTTTGTGATTTTTGCTTTGGATATGATACTTTTAATTATTCTTTAAGATAAAATAATTAGAGCAATGATTGAGAAGTGATTGTTTTTAACCAAACTTCTTATTCCACAACATGTCTACTTTTTAAAAAATTAGGATATGAAAAACCACGTAAATGAAGAAGTTACTGAATTCCTAAAGTTTTTACAGAATTCTGCAAAGAAATGTGCACAGGATTATAATATGCTTTCTGATGATGCACGTCTCTTCACAGAGGTAAAAAAAAAAATTACTTAAACTGCCAAGTAATAGTCAATAGCAGCATTTTTAATTGTGTGATGATCCTGTCCAATGCATATGGAAATAACAGTTTTATCGATTTAGGGACCAAATCGTAGGTAGGATTTTTGTAGTCACATTTAAATAATAGAAATGCTGTGCTTACACCTCAAAATCATGTACTATAGTATATTCTTTTTTCTTTTACTGAGCCAACTACCATACTGTATTTGAGAGTTATGTTTTACTCACATGGATGGTTTGATCTGATGCGCTGATTTCCCTTGTGAGAGAATGGGTATTCAAGGAGTTAATTTAGTCATTAAAAATCTGAATGGTCCTTTAAAGCTTAGTCATATAAATTTGCATTTATTGTCCTCATGGTAACCAATCACCAAATGGTAAATTTCAACTGTGAGTTCATTTTTTTATAAAAATCATCCATGAAATTTACTAGCAAAGCTTGTGCCTTGCACCCTACCATCATTCAGTGAGCCTAGTGAAAATTTAGAGTAACCTACTTAAATAGTTACTATTAGTATATACAGTTGACCTTTGAACAACACAGAGGGTGGGGTTGCTGACACCCCACACTGTTGAAAATTTGTGTATAACTTTTAACTCCCCCAAAACTTAACTACTAATAGCCTCCGTTGACTAGCAACCTTACCAATAACATAAGTAATTGATTAATACATATTTTGTATGTTACATGCATCATACTATATTCTTATAATAAGGTAAACTAGAGAAAAAATAATGTAATTAAATAAATCATGCCGAAACCGGTTTGGCTCAGTGGATGGAGGGTCGGCCTGCGGACTGAAGGGTCCCAGGTTCGATTCCGGTCGGGGGCATGTGCCTGGGTTGCGGGCACATCCCCAGCGGGAGATGTGCAGGAGGCAGCTGATCGATGTCTCTCTCTCATTGATGTTTCTAGCTCTCTATCTCTCTCCCTTCCTCTCTGTGCATATAAGTGAGCCTGTACAGTGCCATACCATGTTGTTTAAGGGTTAACTGTATTAATATCCCTTCATTTCACTGGTTTAAACCATCTTCTTATCTCAGAAAGAGACAGTCTACAAAGATCACACTCCCACCCCCCATCTTGCTTCATCTTCTACATAAGTTCCTCCCAGTTGTTCCACATCAGCCGACTGGCCTCTGTGTCTCTTGAATAGTCCTTGAGGCCTTTTTTGGCTGTTCATCTTTCTGGCAAGCTGTTCCCCAGCTATCTGCGTGGATTAGTTCCTTGATTCCTTTAAGTCTCTCTCTCTGTTCAGATGCCAACTATCAATGAGGATGTTCATAATTACCCTCCAGAAAATAGCATTACCCTTAGTATTTCCTTTCCAGGTTTTATTTTTGTTTTTTGTCTTTTTCACAATGCCTGTAAGTGAGTACTCCTCTGTATGCTGCTGAGTTCAGAATAATGCCTGGCATACAACAAATGCTCAAGCGTTCAATGTAATTGCTAAGTGAATATAAAAATCTATATTTTTTCATTGCTAACAATCAGTATTATGTCTTGTTTTTTTAGTCAGATTGTCTTGGCAGCACATTTTCTCTCATTTATATTTTACGTCTCCATCCCAAAGATTCACTGATAGCTATAAACATTGTTTTACTGTTTTAAAATGTTAATATTATATTATGAAGTGTAATGTACATGTGGAAAAGTATATATAGCCTAACAAAGAATTATATAATGAACACTATGTAATTCTGTTTCAAGTCAAGAAACATCAATGTGAGTGAGACACATCGATTAGTTGCCTCCCACATGAGCCCAGATCAGGACCAGGGATCAAACCTGCAATCCAGGTGTATGCCCTTGACCAGAAATTGAACCACCACATAGGCTAACCATGAGCACACTTTTTTAAATATTGGAGTTAAACATATTTAGTGGGTTCTAGTCCCTACAAGTAAGATTTTTTTGCAAGTTCAAATAATACCAACTTTGGCCAGTTGACAGGTTCTGCATATTATCTCTTGAGTCCTTTTAAGTCACTCTAATAGTCTTTGAGGTTCCTTTCATACATTTCCTCTCCAGCCCTAGGGTCAGCCATTTTCCAGAGCCCTTGTTTTTTTAGTGGGAATGGTATTTCAGGACTACAGTCTGGGCACTGGGGATGTTCATTGCTCTTGGGTAGATGGATCTAGGAGATACATATTTAAAAGAAAAAAATACAATGTGTCTCATTTGCTGTACCCCAGAATACACTCACAGCAGCCTTAGAATAACAATACTAATACTACCAATTCAACAGATTACTGAAAACAGTTTGAAAAAAATTTTTTTATATCTTCTCTACTTTTAAAAATAAGATTGTACTACATTAATATTGGTTTATTTTCATTATATAGATATATTCTCACCCGAGGATATTTTTTATCATTATTGTTGAAAGTAATACAGATGTACTCTTTTTTTTCCCTGTTGACCCCTTCCAGCTTATCCCTCCATCCCCCTATCCCACTTTACCACACTATTTGCCTGTGTCCATGGATTATGCATATATGCATATAAGTTCTTTGATTATAAGTTCTTCCCACCACACATACACCCAATGCATATAGCCATTACATGCTAAATAAACTCCTGAAATTTAATCTTTCAAAATATTTTATGGTTGGTGCTTTTTTGTATTCTTGCATGGAAATATTTGCCAACTCCAAGTGATTCTAATCTGGAGTCACTTTTACTCTTTTTACCCTGCCTCCCTCCTCCCCCCCAGCGGACTTTATCAATGTCTGGAGACATACTTGGTTGTCATGACTAGAAGATAGCTACTGGAACCTATGAACTAGAAGCCCGGGATGTTGCTAAACATTCTACAGTACACATGACATCCCCACAAAATATTATCCAGCCCATAATGTTAATAGTTGATTCTGTTGAGAAATCCTGATGTAAAGGTTGTATAGTTTTAACTTTTATATGAATGTCTTTGTTCATTTCAAGTTATTTTTTGTGCAAGATGTGAGGTTTGGATCAAAGTTCATTTTTCTTTCATATGGATAACTAGTTCCAGTTTAGTGATTTTCAACTGAGTGTGATTTTGCCTCCCAGTGGATGTCTGGAGACATTTTGGTTGTCACGGTGAGAAAGGAGTACTTCTGGCATCTAGTAGGCAGAGCCAGGGATGTTTTTAAGTATCCTACAATGTGCAGGACAGCCCCCACCACAAAGAATTATCTGGTCTAAAATTTCAATAGTGCCAAATTTGAAAAGCTCTATCTAAAACTGTTGGGTGAAAAGACTGTTTTTCCCCTCATTGAATTGCCATATCACCATGGAAGTGTGGGCCATAATTCTATTCTATTCCATTAGTCTATATATCTGACTTTATGCCAATACCTCCTAGTCTTGTAGTAAGTTTTGAAATCATGTGGTGGAAGTCTGATAGCTTTGTTCTTTTTTAATTGTTTTGCCTATTTCTATTCTTTCTTTTGCTTCTTTTAAGGGGATTGACTCCCTCGACCCTGACTTTTCCCCTCTCTGTTGATTTGGTACTTATACATTGTTTTGGTTTTTTGTTCTCTTAGTGGTTGGTTACTCTTGAATTTTTACAATGAATTTTCCCACTCATTGAATTACCTTGTTACCATTGATCTGTGGGTCAGTTTCTTAACTTGATTCTGTCCTATTAATCAATATACCTCCAAAGACCATAGAGCATTTTGACTCGTATCACAGCCTCCTGACTGATAATGTTTTAATGCTCTCTTTCTTATAAACCTAACTATATTACTATTTTACAAAATGTTTTTTTTATCTAAAATACTTTTTTGTCTCTTTATTTATTACTTCTCTAATCTACAATCTGAGATCCTTTTCATTATTCCTGAAATACTGTATGTTCTACTTGTTTCTTTGAGGAAGGTCTCTTGATGATAATCCTTATTTTAATCTGGAAGTATTTTTATTTAGCTCTTATTCTAGTAAGATAGTTTTATTCTATACATAATTGTAAGTTCACAGTTTGCTTTTTTACTCAACATACTAATATATAAAAAGCGAGGGGTAGTCATGACCTAAACGACCGGACAGATGACTGAACAACAGGCTCCATTGACCAGGGGATGGTTAATGGGGGAACTGGGGTCCCTCCAGCTCTGATGAATCTATGGTATCAGTGACTGGGGAGTGGGTGGAAGGCATACCTCTTGGTTCCTTCCCCGGCCGGCAGGCTCCCATTGATCAGGGGATGTCTAACGGGGGAACTGGGGCCCCTCAGGCTCTGATGAATCCGTGGCAGCAGCAACTGGTGAGCAGATGGGCAGAAGGCAGACTGCTTGATCCTTCCTCCTGGCTCTCAAACTCCAATCAATTGGTGGAGGAGGCAGGGTGGAACTGGGGACTGGCTCCCTTAATGGTCCTGCAGGTTCAATCTCCAGAGGACAGGCCAGGCACCAATGGACCAGTGCCGCCAGCATGATCCCGACAGAGCTGCCGGACTCCTGGAACTCGGCCTTGGGCACTGCAGCCACTTACCCTCCCTAGACACTCCACAAAGAAGACAGGATACTGCCAGCAGCGCCAGGGGCGACCAGCAGTGACTGCTGTCCCGTGCTTCCTCCAGGTCACTCGAGCTGGGCCCCCACCCACCGCACTCCAGATGAAGTGTGAGCACTGCACACGGAAGGAATATAGTAAAAAACAAAAACCGATGACCAAGAGAATGCTGAAGTCAACGTCTGGAGTCCGGCTCAGGAGAACGGAGAGAAGGGAGAATGCCGTAAGTTGGCCGATGCCAAGATATTTCTGAGTGACTGCCTGGCATGTGACAGTTGTGTGACCGCAGAGGAAGGAGTCCAAGTTTCTCAGCAGAACACCAAGGACTTCTTCCATGTTCTGAACCTTAATAAGAAATGTAATACGTCACAGCACAAGGTGCTGGCAGTGTCCATGTGTCCTCAGTCTCTGCCTTATTTTGCTGCTAAATCCAGCCTCAGTGTCACTGATACATCCAGAAGGCTCTGCAGCTTCCTCAAAAGCCTTGGGGTGCACTGTCTTTGACATGAAGATAGCTGCGGACTTCAGCATCCCGGAGAGTCAGAGGAATTTGTGTGTTAGTACTGCCAGCACCGTGAGGAAGAGCCCTGGCTACCCATGCTGACCTCCGCCTGCCCCGGCTGGGACCGATATGCAGAGTGCGTGCTGGGTCACCCCATCACCCCCACCTCTGCACGGCCAGGTCTCCCCAGCAGACCATTGGCTCTCTGGTGAAGGATTACTTCACCTGACGGCAGAACCTGTCCCCAGACAAGATTTTCCACGTCACTGTGGCCCCGTGTTATGACAAACTGGAGGTCCTTTGAGAAAATGTTCCCACAGCTTTGCATAGTTCCCAGGGTGCTGACTGCGTGTTAACCTCAGGTGAAATTGTCCAGATATGGGGCAAAGTGACCTTGCCTCAGACGACACCTCCGTGGACACTGGAGACATGAAGGAGGAGCGGGGGGCCTCCACAAGGGGACCAGCTCCGACAAATACCTGGCGCACATCTTCAGGCACATGACCATGGAGCTGTTCAACGAGAATGTGGGGGTGCTCACCTACTGCACCCTGAAGAACAAAGGCTTCCAGGAGGTCACCCTTGAAAAGGACAGAGAAGTTCTGCTATGCTTTGAGGCTGCTTACTGCTTTTGGAACATCCAGAAGTGGTCCTGAAGCTGTAGAGGGGCAAGTTTCCCTGCCACTTCATGGTCGTCCTGGCCTGCGCTGGGGATGCCTAAGCAGCAGGGGGCCAGGCCCAGGCGAGGATGGGCGTGCAGACAGGGCACTGCTGCGGCAGATGGGAGACTTCTACACTGCCATCCCAGTGTGGCCCCCCAGAGACCAGCGCCCATGTGCAGGAGCTGTACCAGGAGTGGCTGAGGGGGCCCAGGGCAGCCTGCCAGGACATCAAGTGGTAAAGGTCCAGCAGACACCCAGCCTGCAGGCCACCTGAGAAGGGGTGTCAGACGCATGAAGTAAAGGTTTAGCATCTCTGTCATCGCTTTGGTTTTCAGAATTCCCTGCTCCCCATCTGTCCTCTCCCTCCCTCTGAGGGGCGTTGTGGTTGTCACTTGGGTGCAACTGGAATATTGTATCTTGAAAGGATTGCCCCAATGTACATATTCTTTTATCTGACGATGAAAAAAAAATCCCAAAGAACAAGAATGGAGACGGACTACTGTCCTTTAGGCTTAAAAAAACAACAACCTGGAAGTGTCCTGCGAAGAGCTGAAACTTGGTTCTGTCCACGTGCCTCAGAGAGATTGGATGAGGAAATGGCCCATCTTGGCCCTCGCTTTACCCGCTTACGTTACTCTTGAAGGTATCTTTGCCACAATGTGAATGAACTGCCACCTTTTGGAATAGGGGCTCATACGATAGTCTGCATTCCCAACTTTTCTTGAAACAGATCTATGTTCTGCAGCTGTGGCCACCATCCTGAGATAGGTCCCGTTGACCAGGTCCTGTTGCTGGGAATCGGGGCACTGGAGTGGAGGCCCTGTTTGTTATGGTTCAGTTCCTGGTCAGGGCACATGACTGGGTTGCAGGCTTGATCCCCAATGGGTGCATGCAGGAAGCAGCCCTGGTCAATGATTCTTTCGTCATTGATGTTTCTATCTATCTCCCTCTCTCTTCCTCTCTGAAATCAATATATATTTTAAATAA